CCTGAGAACCCCTGATTATAGGAAACTAGGTGTGATGAACTATAGCGGTAAATAGGTGCAGCTTTTTCCCAAATATCAGCAATATTTGCTCTTAGACTAGAATTTACACAAAAAGAAATATAACAAAGAAAGCTGTCAGCGTGCTCATTATAACTTTCAGTAGAATTGGAAAGTTATAACATGATTTAAAGAAAGTTCTTTTTCCTCAATCAAAAACCACATCTATTACATAATACACTTTTGAAAAATCTCTGTGACGTCAAATAAGAAAATAAAACAACCGTGTACGACACAATTCATAAAAGTCTGCTTTCTTGAAAAGAAAAAAAAAATTACGTATTTATCTTGTATTTTACAAGGTTTTTGGAAATTATCCAAGAAAGTTAAACTAAATTAATGCAATTAATTAAGGTACACATGTGTTTTCAGGTGTGCTAATGACAGTATTTCGTTAAACTCCATTTCATAAAAGCTGCAATTTGAATAAATTAGAAAAATCAGAGCCAAAGGTAATACAGTGACAAAATGACATATAACTTAACCTAAAAGCACAAATATAGACTAATTTCTGTACACTAGATGTCATATACGGAAATCTTAAGCAGAGTACATCCCTTTGAAATAAACTATCGCATCTAAGTAGTTTATATTTTATTGCCCATGTCTGATAAATCAGCTACAATAATCACATATATTTAATGTCCAGGAAATAGTTAAATTCAAGATGTGATAAAACTCCCTTTCAGTTTTTTACGACACTTTACACACATATCTTTAGAGATCGTTCCTGTTCTAAATATGGATTCTGTACTTTTAATTTGATTTCCACTTTTTTTTTTTATCTATTTTATCTAAATTCATATTTTAGTCCCACTATATTCTTTGGTACAGACCTAGCAGACAACATCATACAAGCCCACACATAGATCTATACTATAATAATGATTTTTTTTTTATGTAACACAATTCTTATGATATGATTTTTAGAAAACATTAACAGTAACTGTCATAAATTCGACAAATTCAATGTGAAAATGCATGGAGAATGTACATCCGTGCAAGTGACGAGCACCCTCATAGTAGTCTCTTCATTAAGTAACCACTAAATGTGTATTGATACTTGTCACTCAAGGTCACCAACAGGAAACCTGAATTTTGAAAGGAAGAGAGTATTTCAGGGCATTTTGTCTTGAACTGATAAACTTTTAATCCGGGATAAGTCCCTAAAAATGCAGGATTGATTCACATTAGGGACAGGAACACTATAATTTGGTGTGGATTACATTAAGGTAGCATACTGGCTTTATCAGTATTACACATCATTATCAACAGATTAACTTAGAGAAAGATAATACCAGTAGGCCCCCAGTAAGGACTTATTAAGCAGATCAAAGATCACCCCCTCCTTTTCTTCTGGACACCTTGTAAGCTCCTTATGAAGGTGATTAGATAGTTAGTCAACTCAAGGACTGTCAAGCCACATCAGGTTTCCTTATCTTATCACCACTGGCTTCTTAAATTTTGACCATCTGATAGGTTCTTAGAGCCACATTACATCTATTTACTAGCCATTTAAAATTCCAAGTATTGACCTGCTGTAACTCTTCCTATATGTACAAGACTTTAAGGGGCAGCCTTTTGTTACAGGTGGAGTCTGTTGGCACAGTGACAAACATTTACATGTATATTTATATTCATTAGTAATCAACAACCTGAGATTAAATGTTTCACAATCCAGCACGTTTTGCGTTCACATTTGAACACCACTTGAACTTTTGTCAAGTGTTCTAGAATACCCCCTTTCCTAGGAAAAACTCTGAATAGCCAATATCATTTTGAAGATTTATACAAATACAGATGAAATTACACCTGCTAGGCTACCACTAGGCTTAGCATTACATCACACCTTGAAAAATGGATGAGATTTTGCCAGCAAGTTAGAAGTACTCTAATACATGTATAACAGTGGTGCACTTAAGACAAATTGTACATATATATATCCCGAGCAATGCATACTTTTTATGATTTCATGTTGAAAGCATTTACAAGCATTCACAGATATAATCATTATGAGCACGAGGGTGAATAATTAAGCACCATTCTTTTCCTAAAGTTAACATGCTTTTATGCCAGACGAAGATTTTTTTCCCCCTTACCACTTCATGCACACATTCTTACATATGAAAATTCTTCTGGTAGAGCAAATTTCTGCATCACATAATGAAATGTAATTATATCTAGACTACAGAATTAGCTTACTGGAAATATGCTGGAGATGTTCTCTATTGGCATATGTTTTTAGGTGATAAATGTCCTATGCACTAAAAACTTGAGCTATCTGACACAACATTTTGTCTTTTTATGCATAGAAATATCATGGACTAAAATGAAATACTGTCTTATATACATAGCAATACATTATTTGGAGTAATTAAATGTGGTACAGTTATATCCCTGTTTTATGTAAATGCCTAATTTAAAGCTATATGAAATGAAAATGTAACCATGTTTTATGCATGTTAATATAAATTTATGGATTTTGAGGAGATAGACAAAATTATTTGAAATGGAAAATACTGAAACATTGAAGAATTTTAATCATTGATTATTTCGAAGACGAATTAAAAAAAATTATATATAACCCAAATTACCCTGACATTTCTCATCCAAATACATTCTTAGTTGCTCTATATTCAAGTTTTTGTTAATCAAGATGTCACTATATAAATCAGTTTCATAATTCATATTCTGACAAAAGATATTATAGTTCTGATTAATGGCTTCCCTTGAACCCTTCCTATGTATCTTATTCTACTCAAAGGATATTAAAGGTGTTAAAAATACAAACTAAATAAAATCATAAAACATTTTTAATGAAATAATATTAATTTTTCTTAATAAACTGTTCATTTTTTGTGCACAAATGGAAGCCCAGCTGAATAGGTTAATTTAATAAGACAAACACTGTAGTAAAGGTATTCTCCAAATCACTTTTTACAATCATGACCCTGATCTTTGACTAATTGACCTCAAAATACAGAGATACTTATTGCAAACAAATTTAAAATAAATTTTTACACAGTATTAGTGGCATTACATTCAAAATCTCTCACTTCAAATATTTTTTCATAAGCTTGAAACCTAGCTATAGTAAAACTCGGTTATAACGAAGTCACTGGGACCTGTGAAATTACTTTGATATATCTGTAATTTGTTATATCCATATAAGGAATTTGTAAAATTTTTACATAGCTGGGGATCCAAGAACACTTCACTACGTCTGTGAATTCGCAATATCTGTGTTCGTACTAAACGAGATTTATTGTAGAACTAATTACCAAGACCAGTTCAAGTGTATACTTTTCTTTCTCTTCATTAACAAATAAATTTTCCTTTCCTTTATTAGATACCTATTTCTTTGAACATGTCTACTGTGAAAGGATCCACCTGAGAATATGATCTGTACATCAGAAAGAAAGGTAGACTAAAGGTTGTCTTCTCAACTGCAGGATAATAACCCTAATGTATCAAGTAACCAATAAGGTCCAACACTATAACATAATACCTCAAGCCTGGAAAGCTTAAAGATTTCTGCCTGTCTCATATTTTTATGATGAAACATTAGGGGGAAAAAAGATTGAGAGATGCATTGTCTTGCTGAACCTGGCTGTTGGCACTTGGCAGTTCTTAGAAATTACATGTATTATTACATGTAATAGAGTTGTACTCCAGTAATCATAATGTGTCTGGCATTATCTGCTGTTTTCCTTAATATGAACTATAGAGAATTAGTGATGACATAATAATCAAATTTCCTCATCTAGAAACATTGCCAAAGTTCAAGTAAAGTAGGTGTATATAAGCCATAGACTTATGCAATATGGTACCCTTAACTTGCTTATCTACAGAGTGTATATTCATCAACTGTCAAGGAAAAAGTCTTTAACTTGCACTAGGCTAACTTTGTGCATTGGTGTACTTTACATGCACAGACCTAATTGTTGCTACTGAGGGAACAAATTCCAACACTTCCAGACAGTCAAGAATGTCTTAATACAAGAAATGACTCTCCTCCCCCACAAAAAAAGAGAAATATATTTCATTATCTTCCACTCTTCCATACAATGGTTCTGTTTTCTGCAGAAAAGCAACTTTATCTTTATTTCTGTGAGGGTTCATACAAGTTTTAACATTCATCAAAACACTGAACAAATTGTACATGTAACATTTCTGTTTATTCCTGAAAATAAGTAGAGTTTTCAAGGGTCAGAATTCTGTATATAATAGATAAAGGTTTCTGAAGTGATGTATGGTAGAAAGTGAACGACAATTTCCTGCCTTCCTTTTTGGCAATACACAGAAAACTTGACTGGGAAAAATACACTTTCGTGAATCTTTTGTTTGACAGTTAAAAAAAAAGTGCTTTGTGAAAGTGCGATAATGGAGAACACTTCCTTTTGCGGTTTCAATTTGTGTTTCAAATCAAAAACGACATATTGCTTGTACCATCAAAAGACAAAAATGTTTGTCTGTCCTGAACATCAATGACAGAGTTTCAGCCTTTATACAGTTGTACATATTCAAGTTTTCAAGCCTTACATGGAAATTTAATTGGCCTAGTTAAAAGGCAAAACAGACCTAGCCATGTCATGTCATATAAAACAAGAATTTTATTGGGCCATATACACTTTAGTTAGTGCACACTTCTCCTACTATCAGTCCAATACAGACATGGATAATCTGAAAGTTTGACCCATATATCGTGATAACTTCTAGGTTTACTATGGTAATTTTGTTCAACAAATATGTATCAATGATAGAAATAAGATAACTTGCACAAATATTTGCTCAAACTTTTCTTACACTGCTTATATGATTACAAGGAAAAGATCTTAAAAAGTCAAAGTATGATTATTTGTTATTATACGTCAAAAATGTGAAGTAACTTGTATGCAGAATGACGGAATCCGATATTAAATTTAAAACATATTGACACTTACCTCATAATTTAAAGATAATCCAATAATGAACTATATCCAATAAATTATTGAAACTGAACAATGCACTTTTTCACAATTTTCAATATAACACTCCAGAGCTATGAGCACATTGTATCAATCAATTTCCCTCCATGTCTTGGCAATTCTGAAATGCAAATTAAATATCATTTCATAATGATCTTAGACCTTTTCCATTCACATTGCTCAACACTCATTTCACCAAAACTGCTCAAAAATTCATTAAGGAATCTGATTGAGCCTATCAGAAAAGACATACGGCAAAGTTCAAACATTTACAAATCTAGAAAGCTCTTTACATCTTAATGGTTAAATATTTTTAGATTTAAACAATTAATACTTGGTTTTTCAAACTCAGTGGGACTTTTAAAAATAACTTTGAGATATAGTATTCAAGATAATAGAGTCAGAACTCAAGCTCAAACTACAGTTGGTATCAAGGACTCGCTTTGACACATCTCTGGTATATAAAAGACATGAGCATACAGTGATAAAAAAGTTTGACATAAATTGGTCACATTTTCCCAAATGTTTTTGAGATTGTGTGTAGAAATGTGCATCATTTATTTGCAGTATGTTAGAAACTTTTACTCTCCTATCCAACAATTGGCATAAGACTGAGCAGAGTGACTCACTCCAATCTCCTACACCCTCCTCCCCCACCCAAACTCCTATTTTTGAGGGGAAGAAGAAACTACACAGGCAAAACATTTGTCACCATTTGAAGACTTTGATCTCAAACTAGATAACAAAATAAACTTGTGATAACCCTGATCCTTCCCATCACTTGGCTGTGAAAAATTCCTGTCATCTGCTTTAGCAATAGAGGTCTGAAAGTTCATTCTACAGAGCTGACTAATAAGTAATTCACTGAAAACATCTAGATCAATGAATCTGCATGGTTATGAATCAGTCATTTAATAAACCTATAAATATTATGAGCAGACAAGATGTTTGCCGGAACTTTTTCATACAACAAACAGGAAAAATATCAAAAGCTATAAATGTTTTGCATAATGAAACTTTTCCCCACAGTACTAAGACTACTTACTCCTCCGAGTATCCATTTATAAACATAACACCTGATCAAGTCAACTTGCCCTTCACATAACATTGACTTAAATGAATCTAGTAAAATGAAAACTTTTACTGAGGGTCTAAAATAGGCCCAGAGCCAAGATTCCAAAAACTTGGATTTATTCTACATGCTTTGTTTTGTACAATTTTTATATGCATACAAGTGTATGTAAAACTTTGTGACCCCTTTCTTGCTTCCTTTTGTACAGAGTTTTGCGTGAATCTTAATTTGTACATCCTTTCCCTCTTTAGTCTTGTCAACAGAGTTGTGATTTGAACTTAATGCTTATCTAACAATAAAGAAGCCTGATCGGTAGTCGTATGATATTTTTTCCTTCTACAAAAAAAAAATTCACAAGATTTTTGTCCTATATATATTTTTTTTAATGATATAAGGGTTGTTTTTGAGAGGAAATCTGAAGATTTAATGATTGAGAATAAGTAAAAGTAAAAATGCTTTTACTCCATACTACAATATGATACTACCTCAATGCAATCCAACACCTCTTGATATATGCATTAAATGCATTTTCTTATACTATGATGACAGCAGCATGAATTTATGTAGCAAGTACATACATAACTGCAAGTAATATAATCATTCTATCTGTGTGTGTGTGTGTGTGTGTGTGTGTGTGTGAGGTTGGGGAGGAGCATCTCTTGAAGGGAACTATATTTTTTTCACTTCATTGTACATTCATTTTTTATTTCAAGTTAACAAATAACAATCATGGAAACATATTTTGTTATTTCTTGCAAAAGAACATGGGAAACATCATCTCTCTTTCTCCACAAAGATTTCCATAAAATCTATAGTAATATAATTCTCGGTTTCAATGAGAGTATGCCTCAGTGTTTCTTTAAAAGGCATTCCAGCTAGTGCCCCTAAGGAATAACATGAATATTTTTGTGGGGAGTAAAACAAGTCAAATATCAATTTATCAGTATCGTTTGCATAAGAAAATATCACAATAACTTTGGCAAAGGCCACAAAGTCATCAGTTCTTCTATTGTTAGAAAGATTTTTTATCCTTTTATTGCCGACAGAGATGAGAGAGGTTCTTCTAAGCCTATGTGATCCAGTCGACAAAAAATGTGCATCACTATTACAATCGAAGAAGAATCGCCAGATGTGCAGCATAAACTTCATATGTACAACATTGCACACATGTCATAGAAGGTTATCAGAATAACATCTACCACTGAAATATGTCTAACAGATTTTTACACATGGCAGAACTTATGACTCAAGATGGTGAAAATCTACCCAGCTCTATCTCACATCCCATGTATATACTACAGCTAGAATGTCACAGAAGGGCTCTTTATGGCTATTGTTTGTGATCTTGTAGTGTTGCAAGAGCACATCACAGTTTAATTGCTAACAGTTAACTCTTGCACCCTTAGTACTGATTAGGAGAGAAGATTATCTTTGTTGACGATGGGCGGGTACTCTTTGATGGGGGAACAAACAGAGCTACCAGTGTGGGCCTTTGTTGTCTCCCTTCTCCACTTACCTAAAACTTTCAAGACAATTTTGTAGTAGTCAAGAGTTCAAGTTACTGTAAGTAGCTTTTATTTCATAATACCTTTATACAGTGGCTAGATAAATCACCGGATGTATTTACACCCGACCATCTCAAGCTCAGAAAAATCATTTCAAATTCAACAAGCCATCAAACCTCTTCAAACACAGAGCCCTAAAGGTAGGTTTTGTTGGGCCTAGTTAACTCACAAGCCTGTTGACACCCTCGCTAAGCTTTTATACACTGGACAATACCAACCTAAGCCCTCTGATCAACACCCCTACTTGTTTTGCTATTTGGACAGTTTTTCATCATCGTCTCCCCAACTTTACCTAAGAAGGAAACCATCCATAACACATAAATCAATTATTTGTACAAAATTAATGAGACACTAAAAGGGGATTTCACAAAGGGATGAGCGGTTATGGTTGCTTTTCATAGAGTCAAAAAGCATGAAGTAGAACTCATGTACACCTCATCTCTGTAGAAAAGTGTCTTGTGTAACAGGAGGTTAATGAGCTCTTGCTGGCAATAAATATAATTGAATCCATTAATGAATCCAGCTTACCTTAAATAGTACAAAGAAAAACTACAAATTGTTGATATCATTCCAAAGGAATTATAGATGGCATACATTTCATGATCTGGAGAGACAGAGGAAAAGAGATAGAGAGAGGAGAGAATCATATTCAGTTTCCCATTAAAATGCACATTTAGAGAATCACTGAATAGCTTACTATCTGCTAAATCACTGTATATCTGAAAGAAATTTTAAAAATTCTTAAATGATATCCCCCCTTTTTTTCACTGTTTCTTATGGACACATTTGTATATAAATCAAATGTAAAATAGAAACACAATACATCAGTCACAAAGATAACCCTAAACCTGCCTTTTAATATTTTATTATGTGATTAGTAACCCAATACATCCAATGAACTAGAAAAAAATAAATTGAAACCTTTTACAAGCTATGCAGAAGTAAACTTTTAACCTTTTAAAACTGTTTAATCTTTCAACACTTTTATTGTCTTAGGTCACTTTTACAGCTGGTTTATCTGTCTGTTAGTGGGACCTTGGAGCCAGGATTACAACATTGTAAGTGACCTGGCTCAAACAGTTTAACCTCTACCTAGTCTTCTATCACAGTGTTAAACAAACAGTATGGATTAGCCATAATCAGAATGGTTAATCTGTCTGTAACACTGTTTTAAACCAACTTGCATTCAAATTTAAACAATGTATTTAAATGTACACATAGCACAACTATGAGACATGTTTCAAAAGCGACAGAGCATTTTTCTAAGTTCATGAACTTTTTACACAAAAAGAAAGAATACCAAACAATTAATTTAAAATCGAAAAATTGTGGTTTAGACCCGCAGACCCCTTTTGCGTTATGTCAAACACTTTGTCATAAAACAGTATTCAACAAATAAGGCATTAATCACAGATTTGAGGATAATATTGCTAGCCCCCGATTAACGCTTGTTTTGATATTATAAACAGGTAGCATACAACAGATTCTGTTGGTTCCCTTGATCATCCTGGCTACCAAATCAACAAGTATTTAAATTTATACTCGCGCCCTTAAAACGGGAACTCTAACAACAATCGCCCCATAAGGAGTGTCAACCATGCGATGTATAAAGATGGGACCTCGTTTTTATTTAATCATTAACTACCTGTTATTGGGCTCACCTTACCTGAGGTTTTGAAATAAATTTGACTGAATGAGATTGAAATATCAAATACATAGCAAAGGCGCAATGTCCAACAAGGTGAAAAACTATCCTTGTAGATAGATAAACATTAGGCCTCACATTAACTAAATAAACCCAGATAAGAACAGATAAAGAACATTCTCTCCAGTTGCCATGCTGTTTTCACTCATTCAGAACTTTATTCATGACTTGAAATTTTATCAATGAAATTTAACCTCTCTTATGGCTTTTTGCACAATAGAATTTTTCCTCCCTAGATAGGTGATAGAATAACCAATTTACCTTTTAGAGCAACAATTTCCTATTTAAAGACCTAAGCTTACATTTCACAACTAAATTAGTGGTAAATTTTAACTAACTATTGTGAGTTAACCATAAAATCACTGAGGATTCAGGATGAGCAACAAAGTGATGCAAAAGCTCTATGAAGGGAAAAATTTCTCCATCCACACCACAAGTTGTTTTCTTTGTTAAAATTCATTTGCAAGAAAGCGTAAAGCCTTTGTAGTAATTAATGGGCACTGGGTACAAAACCTGATTATGCTGGGTAGACAGAATGCACTTCACTTATCTATGGTACTGGGTACTACCCACCCATCTTATCAGCCTTCCCAATTATTCGGGAAAAAATTCAACCATGACTCGGTCATTTCTTACTTTTAATTAAAATCTATCAATTGACATAGTAATCTTGGCTTTAAGCTAAGCTAAATCCTTTGTATAATTGTACAAAGATCACCAAAACAATTTTTTTCTTTGTGTTGTTGTGAATTTGATGATTCAGTCAGATGTGTATTGTAAGGTACACACATCTAACCACACAAAGAGGATTGTCTGGCCATTTTCGCGCCAAAAGTCTTATCTCCTTAACCCCTCCTACTGTCTGGCTCCTCCCCTTCAATTGATTGACAGAACAGAAAGTAGTTCCAGTCCTGACCTATTTCACAATCATAGTGCAAGTCTCCACCGACCTCTGCGTACCAGTATATATTTAGTCATGATCAGCAATGAGGCCAATACTATGATCAATAAAGATCATTCAAAGTATATATAAAGACAATCTACAGATCCAGTAATATTTATATATAGCACACATTTTAAAAATTAGATAATTCTTGAACACCAACAAACCACCATTAGAGGAAGTTTTTTTTTCTCATGACCCAGTCCAGCCTTAATCAGATCAATATGATCTTGTTGGCAAATATTTGTTTTCCTGTGATATAAGAGAGACACCTAATCCATCCTGCGTAAAGTACTATCTAAATACACCGTACAAAGGTGCTCGTACAGTTGTCTGAGAAATTCACCCCTCTCAATTACACTAGGACAAATATAAATGATGCTCACTGTTTGTTCTACATATTCCACCCCACTAACTCTTTTCACCAGACAGTTTTCACTGTAACAGAGACTTATTTAACTACATGGAATCTTATGTCTCATTTCTTAAACATAATGTAGTAAATAGTGAATAGAGTATATAATCAAAGGGAAATAACACTTATATATGCATTTCACAGGGAGAAATACATGTGTATCATTACCTGAAACTTTTTTTTAGCTTGATGAAGAAGATTTAGATTTCTATCTCCTTTGACATGCCTAATGAGTGTGCTAGCTTTGTTTCTTTTTTAGCTGTTTTTGAGTTTTTCAATCCTTGTCAAGAATCTGGGTATCCTGGACTCTTCACATCTTCAGTAATTCCAACACCTCTACTAATTTTGACATCTATAAACTCAGGTATTGTCATCTGTAAATAAAAGAAAAGTCATTGTAATCAATATTAAACATTACTATTCTTAGAATCATGAAATCTATTTAACAAGAACTAATACAGAGGATACTAAGACTATATTTAATCAATCTTCTTGTTCTATCAAAAGCTGCCTGTCTTTTATTCAGGTTATATAAAGTATGTTAATTATAACCAATTCAAAATAAATGATTGACAAAGTGGACCAATATTTATATTTTCCAGTGCATTACATTATAGAAGAAGAAGGTGCAGATATTTGGACATGAAAATCTAGGCACTTAAATGATTTTGTAAACTGTTCCATCATTAAAATTATAAGAGCTACAACAAAGGAAAAATAGATTTATCAATAAAGGAAAAATAAAACTATCAATAAAATCCACTGCAACATATGTCAACAATCAAATGTGACACGAATCTGGATATTCTATACATTGAATCGACTTTTCAGCTCATTTTAAAGTCGGTAAATTGCAAAAAATGAACACAGCCACTGTGATCATTAGCCACATAATGGCTTTTCTACTAATTATTTATTCATGCATGTCAACGAAGCAGGAGGAAGCTTCAAAGGCTAACGGCCCGGGGCCATCATACCAGACATAGCTGGTATGACGACACAACAATGCTGTAACACTCCAACTAATGGCAACCAAAACTTTAACTAATCATGTGCCCTACATGCATTCATTTTTCCTAAGAACAATATCAGGGAAAGTAATTTGACAGCTCATTTCTCTTTCTCAAGCAGAGATACTGAAAGTCTTACTGCAAAAAAAAGGTAATGTCACTATGACGCAAAGTGGGTCAAAAAGACATTTAAAGGAGGTTTACAGCCTTGATATCCACAACATCCTGCCTATCCTCCAAATTCCATGAAATGTAAATATGGGGGTTTTCCTTCTGAAAGTCCAGAAACAAAAATATGTCATGACCCCTTGAGAATATTGGATCAGCATTTAATTTTTTGTTGTTGAAAATGTGGAAGTATTTAAAGGAATGGATATCTTTTTCTCCTTAGAAATTTATAAAAGCACTGAATTGACTTGTTCCAGACTAAAACCCTTAATTTTTTTTACCAAAACATCTATCCAGCGCCATTATGGAGATAAGTTGTTGAATAAAGGTTATGTGTGTCTAACACTTCTCTTTGTATTGCAATTAAATAGAAAATAACCCACGCACCTATTATTATTTAAATATTGATTTTAATCTGTCAAAAAAAGGTCATGTCACTTTCATGAAAAGCTGAGTGTGTGCTGTCTGTTACGAGGCAGATGAGATTGTCCGGAACGCTGATGCCATGTAACAGATGTGTAGTCAATACCCTTGTCATCCCTCATCAAGTGATAAGTTTAATAAGAGGCTTTTATAGATATTGCTCCCCTTATATAGCCTCCTTAAAGTACAATTTTTTTTTTATCAACTGTGATTCCAATTCTACTAATTATGACTCCCAACTACTCCATTTTCCAATTCAGACCTAAAATTCTGTTACCTTTAATTAATACAGGTGTTACAATTATACAATTATTTTTGAGTGATGCCTCTCATTACACAGATTATTGAGTTTATCTCCCAAAAGCTAGGGAATGACAGATGATCCTTTTGAGGTTGAGGTCATTCATCTCTCTCTTCATAATCCTGTCCTGGGTACCAGTTATTTCTACAGAATACACATTTGTACGTACATACTGGCTAGCCATGTTCTTAAAACATTTTTATAATGAAGATGATGGGAAAAAGGCAGAAAAAAAACCCTTAAAAACCTAACAAAAACTTAAAATTACTGCTAATATGCTCAAAAAGTAATTTCAATGTTCATTTTTATCTAACAGTTGATATTGCCCTTAAATTATTCTAGTGGCATATTATAAAACAACTGCAAAAAGAAAAGTAACACAGGCCAATTTCAAGTAGTCATAATTTATGACTTAATGACATTTTCATGATTTAAAAGCAGAAACAAAAGGGAAACGACTGCACGAGAAGACAAATATTGAAGGGCATCAAGTTTGTAATCCATCCTAAACAGGATATATTCATAAAGCTATTAGAAAAGTACAACTATACCCCAGCAATGAAGTTGAGAGAGTATACTGGAATCATGCATGTGTTTAAGGGGTACCAACCCTCTGATAAGAGAGATAACTTTCCAAGTAAAAAATAAGACTACTACTCGTAGTTTTTTATTTGTTATTTGTCTGTATGAGATCACTTTTAGAATTCAAGGGATATTGTATCCAAATTTACCCCTGTGTTCCCCTGCAAAGGGTATTAACTTAAGCTAACTCTAGTTACTGTAGATTCCTCACTTTAAGCTAGTACTAAATATCATGAAATTACTATAAGACATCAAATCACTAGAACAATAATTAGCGACTGGACAGTTGATCAAGACCTTGTACATGGATTTCAACACCATAAAAATAGATGTGAGTAATTTTATTTCACAAGTGATGCTTCTCACAAAATTACACAATAATTAATTCTTTGCATATATTTAGGAATCTACAGTAGTTTTGCTTTTTGCATCAAAACAACACTCAGTTGTAATGCTTATTGGTCAAGGAGGTAGGGTATTAAACATATGCAGACAAACTACAGCATGAAATAAATAAAGTAAGATTTTTTGGATTCTAAAAATAAAACAAAAGAACAAGTCAAACTTATGCTCATGACCTACAGCCAATTTTCTTTTTTTTTTTTGGGGGGGGGGGGGGGGGGGGGAGGAGTTCGATTCCTGAAGTCAACTTGAGTTGTAAACATTCAAATTCTAAAGCCACATTTTCAAATAATTAAAACCTTTAGTATGGGGATTGCAAGTTAAACATCACACTAAATAAATCTAATTATTTGTGATATACAGTTGAACTTCGGTATCTCAAACATCAATATCTCAAATACCATGGATATATTGAAGTGATTTGTAAGTTCCAACCATATTTCTTTAAATATTTTACCCTAAATATCTCAAATCCTACATTATCTTAAAGTTTTTGTTACGATCAAGTTAAAAAAAAACAAGGTTTGACTGTATATTAATCTAATGTACAAGAGGCCCATGATCCACAATGCTCACCAGAGTCTACTTGGTCCTACTGTTCTTCTTAAAATTTTTGCAAGATTTTCCCCACTTTATTTTCAAGAAAAATCCACCCAAACCATGGTCCTATCTATCCACAAAGGGTCTTGTTAAAATCAAGCTCTATTCCATGGGGTTGCTTCAATACCATCATGACTAACATAGCCTTGCTGATCTGGAGAAATAGATCTCTTTATGATGATTTTCTTTCCTGTAAAATCTGATCACTGATTTTAGCCCCTCCCAAATCCCAGTGTTCATAACTTTGACAAATGCAAGTCCATAAAACAAAGAAATGTTAATATTTTGGGATTTTTAGGGCTGATTTGAGGCCAAATTCGGCCCCAGTCCCAACTGAAAATATGATTGCCAAGTATTTTCCCAAAATGAATTGAAAGTTTTCCCAAAGAAAAATTTACAAAATATGTGATCAAATTCAATTTATTGCATTTTCTCTGTAAAGTTTTGTTAATTATTTCCCTTTGGAAGAGGATGTGACCCTTCATTTGAACAAATTTGAATCCCCTTAACCCAAGAATACTTTGTGCTCAGTTTGATTGAAATTGGCCCAGCAGGTCTGCAGAAGATGATATTGTAAAAAGAAACAAGAGGCCCAAGGGCCACCTATCACCTGAGCACAATGGCTAGGAAAAAGCAGAAATCAGTATTGAAAAGTTTACATGGAAAGGGGGGGGGGGTTCAGGTGGTGGGGGTGGGGAGAGACTTGAAATTTAAACTACCTGAGGATGCTTCTATGCCCATTGGTTCTTGAGAAGAAGTCGAAAAATATGAAAAGTTTACAGACAGATGGACACCAGACAAAATGTTATTAGAAAAGCTGACTTGTCACAGTGAGCTTTCAGCTCAGGTGAGCTAAAAATGGAATACATTTAGATGTTTTCAATTTCACTGTTTGCGATTAAAGAACTTTCTGTGAAAATTGAGCAATCATGAATATTGTTAACATGTATCAATGTAGCATTCAATTAATATCTAAACACTTTTAAATCCTGTTATAATATTTCCTAACAGTACAATAGTAAATCATTGAAAATCATTTAGATACCCAAGTTTATTTACAATGGATGGTTGAAGTTGGGCCTAGAAAAATAATAACTTGGTTCTCAGGCCAGTTTTCTCAAGAATAAATGTGGAGGGAGGGTTTTTTTTAATCCCCTTCCCTTTTTAGCTCACCTCGACGAAGTCGAGATGAGCTTATGCTATACCCCCGGTGTTGGCGTCGGCGTCGGCGTTAGCGTCGGCGTCCCGGTTAAAGTTTTAGGAGCAAGTCCCATTCCCAAGTAACTATAAGCCCTACCTGGACCAAACTTGCATGGATGATGCATCTAGGGATGGACACTACCACACTTGCTTCGGATGCTGGATATGACCTAGATTTTCCAGATGATCGACCAGGTTAAAGTTTTTGGAGCAGGTCCATTCCCAAGGAATTATAAGCCCTACCTGGACCAAACTTGCATGGATGATGCATCTAGGGATGGACACTACCACACTTGCTTCAGATGCTGGATCTGACCTAGATTTTCAAGATGAGTGACCAGGTTAAAGTTTTTGGAGCAGGTCCATTCCCAAGTAATTATAAGCCTTACCTGGATCAAACTTGCATGGAGGATGCATCTAGGGATGGACACTACAACACTTGCTTCGGATGCTGGATCTGACCTAGATTTTCCAGATGAGTGACCAGGTTAAAATTTTTGGAGCGGGTCCATTCCCAAGTAACTATAAGCCCTACCTGGACCAAACTTGCATGGATGATGCATCTAGGGATGGACACTACCACACTTGCTTCGGATGCTGGATCTGACCTACATTTTCAAAATGAGTGACCAGGTTAAAGTTTATGGAGCAGGTCCATTCCCAAGTAACTATAAGCCCTACCTGGACC